AAGAATTATGTGCAGGATTGAGATTTGTAGATGTTGGTAGAAGGAAAAATTTTCATGTACGCTGTTGAGGAAGGAAAGAAGTAGAAAGAAAACCAAATGAATAGCTGAAAGCTAGGTGAATCTTAAGGTTAGAAGGCAAAAAAATAGGAAGTAATCTTTAAAGAAGAGCAACATAACTGTGTAGATTGAATAAGAGAGTGGACACAAAGGATATACTGCAAACAACAAAATTAGAGAAGTGAAGATTAGCAGGAACTGTAGACAAGAGTCTATTGAAACACTTGAAATTCATTTCAACTAAGAAGTGAAAGAAATATAATTTGTCTTTCTAGTTTTAGGAGTAACCACACCCTCCTGATTTCCATAGTGTCTGTAATAATATTCGTCCTCATAGATGAATTCTAGATAGGGCAGAGGAGTGGGAGGGAAAAGGAGAGGGCAGGGCATTAGCAAGGTTGGTGGAATGTGATAGATATCATTATCCAAAGTACAAGTATAGAGGCATGAATTGGTGTCAACCTACTTTATATACAACTAGAGATATGAAAAATTGTACTGTATATGTGTAATAAGAATTGTGATGCATTCTGCTGTCATTTATTTAAAAAATCAACAAAAAATAATATTCATCCTCAACAATAATGTTGAAGAATTCCTATTCCCCATATTATCATTGTAGTTTATTTCTTGTATTCTTAAATATTGCCTTTCTGAATGGGGTAAGATAGACTCTGAATTGAAATTGATTTGCATGTCCCTGATGGCTAAAGACAGTGAATAGCACTTCATATAAATGCTGAGCAATTATACATTTTCCTTTGTGACCTCTCTGTTCATGTGCCATTGATTAAATGGGTTGTTTTTATTTCCAGTGCTGAATTTCAGTCTTATTTTATACTTATTATACCAGTCCTTTGTCAAAGATTAACCAGCAAGGATTTTCCTCCATGCAATAAACTTTCTCCTTACTCTGTTAATAGTTTCCTTTGCTCTTCTGAAGATTTTATTTGAGTGCACTTCTGTTTGTGTCTTTTTGCTATTGTTTCCTCTGCTATAATATTCCTGTTCGGAAAGCCTTAGTCTAGTTATATGATGATATGTTTCCCCGGATTATCTAGAAGCATTAGCAGCACATCTACTCTGAATCCATATTTTGTATCTGCTTTGTGTTGTCTTGTGCATGGGGAGATATAGAGATCTATATCATTCTTCAACATATGGATATCCAGTTTAACAATACCATGTGTTTTTCTATAAAGTGCCTTATGGTTGAACATGAGTTGAGCTCATTGTGATATAATCATACATGCATTTTGTTGGTACCATTTCAGACCCGGGTTCCTCCCTTTCCTTTTTCTCCCCCCTCACCTTCCTCTCCTCTACTAGATACCTTTACACTCCTTTAATAAAAATAAAATTTTTAATCAGTGTTTATTGAGATACATAAAAGTGGAGCTCACCATGATATACTTACACATGGACGTCAAGTAATTATGTCACATTCATTGCACATTCCCTCTAGGAATCTAACCTTTATCCTTCCCCATCAGTCATTTTCTACTTCACTAATCTTCCCTTAACTTCATGATATCCATTCCACCATTGTTCCTCTTCTGTTGCTTTAGCTTTGCCTATGAAAGAAAACTTTTCTGTGCTTGATTTTCTCATTTCACTTATTGCATTTTGTACGATATTCTCCAATTTCATCCATTTATTGGCTCATAGAAAAATCTCATTCAAAAAGACAGAGTAAAAGTTTTCTGTGTATATATACCACATTTATATTCCATTCAGTACGTCTTGGCTACTTGTTTTACTATAGACATTGATGTATTTGTATCCCCATTGGTCTGCTGATTTTACCACTTTGGACAAACACAGAGGAGTATATCTCCACATGGTGGTCATTCCCAGTTTTTTGAGAAATCTCCATTCTCCCTCCCAGAGTGTTTGCACTAACTTGTCGTCCCACCAACAATATGTGAGTGTACCTTTTCTCCAAATTTTCTTCGACCTTTATTGTCTGTATTCTTGATGTTTAACATTCTAACTGAATTCAGAGGAAAATCTCTGTGTACTTTTGACTTGCATTTCCTTGATTACTAGATATTTTGAACATTTTTTTCTTACATATTTAATCATTTATGTTTCTTCTCTTGAGAAATGTTTGCTTAGTTCTTATTCATTGACTTAATTGTGTTCATGATATTAAATGTTTTGTATTCTTTATAAATTCTTATTTATTCCCTCTCAGGGGAGTTGTAGATAAGATTTTCTCCTCTTCTGTAGGTTCCCTCTTCAATCTCTTTATCATTTCCTTTGTTGCCAGGTCCTTTTTCAAGAAACTTTCTTTTTCCATGCATTTGTTCTTGACATTTCTGTCCAGGAATCAGATGACTGCAAATTTGTGGATCTGTCTTTGTGTTTTCAGTCAGTTCTGGTTTGTTTTAATGCCAGGGTCATGCTGTTTTCCTTACTATTGCTCTGTGTTATACTTTGAAATTGTGTATTATATTGCATTCTTCATTGCTCTTATGTTTCAAGTTTTCATTTTCAATTTTTGGTCTTTTTTTCAACCATATGAATTTCAGAATAATTTTTTCAGTTCCATGAATATCATTGGATTTTTGATAGAAATTGCATAAAATCTGTGAATCACTTTCTGAATATAGATATGTTCCCAACATCGTCTGCCTTTTCTTGAATATTAGATGTTATCTATTTTCTGATGATTTCTTTTTCTTCTTCTTTTTGCTCTTGAGACTTCTTTAATTTCATTTTATCATTCTCCCATTTGCCTCTTTGAATTGGATTTACTCCTACATGATTTTGCTTCTACTATAAATGTAGATGTTATCCTAATGTCAGTTTCAGTGTGGTTGTTTTTATTGTATGGATGTATTCTTCATATTTGTATTGTGAAGTTGTTTTTATTCCTAAAATTGCTAAAATTCTATATCCCATCTTAACTTCTTCTGGTAGAGCCTTGAGAATGTTCTCAAAGAGGATCACATGATCTGTACACAATAATTTGACTTCTTTTTATTTACTTTTCCTGTCTAATTGACTTCTTACTTTTTATTCACTTCCTCTTTCTAATTGCTCTGAATAAAATTTCATTGAATGCCTTTAAATGTGAGATCTGGTGAACAAGCACACCTCATCCTTAGTTCTGAATCTAGAGAAAATGTCATAGATTTTCCACCATTCAGTATGCCCTTTACTTTGGATTTGGAATACACAGCCTTTATAATACTACAGCAAGTTTCTGATGTCCTCTGTTTTAAAAACTTCTCATTAAAGACTGTTGAATTTTTGTCAGAGGCTTCTTCTGTCCTGTATCTCTGAGGTATACAGCATTTCTTGATTTCCATTGTTAAACCATTCATGAATTTTATTGTATATAATTATGGAAATATGTTGTTGAAATTGTTTTGCAGTATTTCATGAAGGTTTTTGCAAATATCTTCAAAATGAATATTATTAAATCTATTTCTTTCCCTTTTGTTTTATTATCCAAATTTCCTGTAAGTGTGATTTTACCTCATTGAATGCATTTGCCAGTTTCTTCCCTTTTATATCCCTTGTTATCTTTGGGGGAGCATCAGTGTTGGTTCTTATTGGAAGGTCTGAAACAATTCAGCCATGAATCTCTGTGGTCCTGAGCTTTTGTTTTTGGAAGGCTGATTATTACTAGTTCAATATAATTGCATGCTGCTTGTCTGTTTAGATTTTCAGTATCCTTTTGATTCTATTTTTGTACGTCATACATTTCTAGAACTCTATCCAATTCTTCTACATTTTCTACTTTTTATAATGTAAATTATCCAAATAGTGCTCTGGATTTCCCATTTATTAGCATTTAACTTTTCAATATAGTCCTTAATTGTCTTTGAATTTCAGAAACGTGTCTGTTGTATGATCCATATTTTTGCCTGTAAATTTATTCATTTGTATTTTCTTTCTCTTTACTCTTTATAGTGTCTCAGTGTTTAGATATGTTGTGTCTTTATTCTCACTTTTAAGTATTCTTAGATATCATCCATGCTGTACTATTATTTACTCTAGAGGTGTTAGAATAGCTTTTATTTTTTATTGTATTGTTACTTTCTAATTTCATTCCATTATCTGATGGCATGCAAGGAACCACGTCTCATGTTTTTGATGTATTAACTGATGCTTTGTGGCCTCATATGTGGTCTGTTTTAGAAAATGATCTGTGCCCTTCAGAGAAGAAAGTGTATGTAAAACTTGCTCATTACAGTTACCATGTTTTTATCCTTTTTCCCTTTCTAGACTGTCCATGAAGGGAAAGGAGAAGTTCATAAATATTTTTGGCAATCCAGGAATGATGGTAATCTCTTTGAGACTGCTCATTTCTGTGCTGTTTATCAATTTGAAGTTAGAGAGAATTTCATGAGTGTTTTACTTCTTTTTTTATCATAAAAGGAAAATATGACCAGAATAAGCAAGGAAATCGAACCTTGCTAGACAGCAGTGATTCTGATAATGAAGCAGAAAATGTAGTTTGGAACACTTGTGCAAAAAATATGAAAGTAAAGAGCTTGCATGGTACTCCTCCTACTTCACGTGGCAAGAAGGTAAGATGCATTCTAAGACTTTTTTCCCAGGCCCTGTTAACATATCATCTCCCATATCCTCATAATGGTGACATTGATCCTAGAAAAAAATATAAGGTTCCTACTAGTTCACCATAGCAAATAAGCACAGCACCAAGAAAGACATGTGTGCCAGGATTGTGATTTGTAGAAGTTTTGGCGTGTAATCAGTGGTTAGGAATGCTCTTTCAGAAGGAAATAAGTAGAGAGAAAACCAAATGAATACCTAGGTGAATCTGAATGTGAGAAAGGAGAAAAATGGGAATTATTCCTGAAAGAAGAATGACATAACTATTTAGATTGAGTGAGAGAGTGAAGACAAAGAGGTAGTACAAACACAACAAGAAGAGTGAAGTTAAGGATAGCTGGAACTGTAGAATAGATTCGTCTGAAACACTTGAAATGCATTTTAATTAAGAAGTGAAAGAAATACAATTCTCACTTCTTTCAAATCTATGAAATACTTGTGTAGTTCCAATGTGCAGAGTTGTGTGAGTGGAATACTGGAATCAGTGAAGATCTTACCATGTGTAACAATTAAGTGGACAAGTCAGGCAGGGAGAGAGCCAGCCTCATAAAAATGTAGCAGGAGAATATTGTGGACAGAGAGAACATTTGTTTACCATTCTTCTTCTCACATTGTGGAGTGGCAGGATCACAGGTGTTAGAAAACATGACCACAGTCATTTTGTGATTCTAAAATATACAAACATATGCATAAATGTAACTACACATATTAGATACTTAATAAATTTATTCACTTCCCAACTTATTGAGATTTGGAATAATTATTTTATCTGAGCAGTAATGAATTATAGATTGAAAATGATTAAGATGGTCAAAGTTTTGGGACAGTGCACATTGGTTTTACAGAATAGAGGGTTTCACTGTGGTATACTTGCATACGTGTATAAGTTAGTTTGAAGCAGGTCACTCACAAAATATTATTCTATGTGTTCTTTTTTTAAATATAAGACATCCTAACATAAAACTAGTAGATTTCTCATTCATTGCCATTTAACGTTCCTTAGTAGTATCAAGTGGTCCGCTGGATTTCAAAAAACTGTTGGTTATAAGAACCACATTTTGGATAGTAAATTATTTCACTTGTTTCTTCTGTCTCTCTCCTTTGGTTACTTTGGTTCAGATTTATAAGACTTGTTTCTCTTCTCAAAAACACAGCTCTCTTTTTCATTCATATTCTTTTTCGTTCCTTTGGCATGAATATGTATCATCTGTTCATGTGTCCTGGATTTGGAGTGGGATTGTTCTTGTTTCCCTAAGACCTCGAGATTCATCTCTAGGCTATATAGTTGAGATCCCTCTGATAAGGTATGTAGCCTTATAAGATATGTAGCCTTATAACTTATATAGTTGAGATCGCTCTGATAAGGTATGTAGCCACATTTATACTTTTCCTCTTTGACTGCATTCATTGTGTGTAGCAGACACTGGGATGTGTTTTTCATTTCAGTTGATTCTAATGATCTATTAATCTTTTTGCTGATTTCTTGGAGGACTGATTCTTCATGCCAAAGTGTATATGGCTCATTGTCTTGTGATTGTGCTCTATCTATCCCTTTTTTTGGTGTGCATTTGAAATGTTATTTGAATGGCATCTGATAATATGAAAGGAATCACTTTGATTGCGATGTGTACTTGCTAAGAATTGTCTTCATGACCTATATGGAGTCTGTTTTAGAGCAAATTCCATAAGAAGCCTGAGTGCAGCACTTTTTTTCTGAGGAAGTATTCCATAGATACCTGTAAAGTCCTCAGGATCAAAAAGTACAGTTGAATTCTGTAGGAATGGTTGATATTTTGTCTGAGCGAAATACCTCTTAGTGAGTTTGGCAGAGTGAAGTGACCCAAACTTGTTTTACAGGGCCCCTGTGTCCCTTTCCTTGGAGCAGTTTGTGGCTGATGTAATTGGGGGCATTGGTGTTCCAGGCACAGTCCTTTACCATTCTTGTTGGATTACTCCTTTTTCTAGTAGGTGTGATCTTCTCTGTCACCTCTGGCTAATGGAGGGTTGAAGTCTGCTGTAGCAAATATGACAATAGCTATTGCTCCTTGCTGTTGGCATCCATCAGCATGAAATGCAAATACTATTTTCCATTCTTGCGATCTCTGCAACTCTGTGCATGTGAAGTACATTTTCTGCTGACAATATGCATTTGGGTCTTGATTTCTTCACTTAATATTCCACGCAGTGCCTTTAATTGAAGAATCAAGCTCATTTACATTTGGTATGAATGGTGAGAGGTACATGTTACTTGGTGCCATTTTGCTTCATTTGATTTCTGTTGGAGTCAGTCATAATTCACATTGCTTACGTATATTAAGATTTATTCTTTCCCATGCTCCACACTGTGTGATTTTAGTGTTCTTCTTTCACATGTAGGATTGTCTCAGTACTTTCAAGATTGCTTCCTTAGTGCCCCTGTATCGCTTTTAGTTTTCTCTTAGCAATTCAGTGATGGGTGTTAACTGTGTATTGTGCTCCTTTTCTCAATTGCTTTCTTTGTTCTAAATTTTTCTGGTGAACATTTAAAATCTTCTAAGTACAGAATCATGTTGTAGTAAAACCACACTACTTTTAGCTGCTGGTTTCCTGTATGAAACACTTTCTTCTTCTCCTTGGCCTAATAGCACTGGCTAGAGTGACACAGAATGTTTTGAACAGAAATGATAAAAGGGGGCATCTTCAGTCTCGTTTCATGTCTAAGAAACATGGTTTGTGTTGTCTCCGTTTTGAATGAGATTGACTTCGCGTTTACTATAAAAAGCTTTTACAAGGTTGAGGTATGTTCCTACTATCACTTGTTTTTCTTGTGTTTTGAACCCTTATTTTGGGAAATGCTTATCCTGCCTCTATTGAGAATACCTAGGATTCTGGTCTCTGTGTGTGTTGGTATGCTGAATGGCATCTGTTGGTTTCCATCTATGGAGCCAAAGGTGTATCCCGAGATGAAACGCATGGGATTGTGGTGTCCTATCTTTTTCTTGTGTTTGGAAAGTGAATTGCCCACATTTTATTAAGATCTTCTGCATTTATTTTCATAAGGATTATTGGCCTCAAGTTTTGTATCCTCATGTGTATTTATCTGGTTTTGGAATCCTGGGGATGCGGCATTCATAGAATGAGTCTGGCCGGGTTCACTTCATTTCTCCTAAATGGAATGTTTTGAAGGGGGGTTTCTATTAACTCTTTTTAGAAGGTCTGCTTGAACTGGACTAGGCTTCCATTGGGTCCTGGGCTTTGCTTTGCAGGTAGGCTTTTGAGCATAACTTCAATTTCATGGCTTGATTTGTATCTGTTTGAATTTGAGATGGGCATTTGGGTAGGCAATGCTGGTATAATTTCCCAAATAGTTTCTGATTATCCTCTCCATTTCATTGTTCTCCATGGTGATTGTTCCTTTTCATCCCAAATTTCAGGAAATTGAGTCTTGTCCCTCTTTCTCTGGATAGTGTGCACAAACTTACATGAAATTTCTGGTTGGTTTCAAAGAACCAAGTTTGTATATTGTTGATTTGGTTGGAACCTTGTTGTTTTCATTTCTTAAAGTTTGGTTCAAATTTCAATTATGTGCCATCAAGGGCTGCTTTCAATGTTGATTTCTTCTTTTTCCATGGCTTTGAAATGTAATGGGAGGTTTGTGTCTGGGAGATTTTCTGTTCTCATAAGGAATAAGATCAGGGCTGTGAACCTTCTTCTCTGATCAACCTTCTGAGTATCCCTGGGTTGTGGATATGTTGTGTGGCTGTTATCAGTAACCTTGAAGTATTATTTATTTCATCTATCGTGTCTTCTGCTCTCCAGTAGTTGATCATTCAGTCTAGGGGACTAGAGGGGCTCCTGTGTTTTTATTCTACTGTTGATTTCTGATTTCATTGCATAAAAGTCTGATGGAACGCCAGGTATTCTCCCTAATTTTTTCCTATGAACTGATCCTTGCTTTGTGGCATCAGATGTGGTGTGTTT